ATATATATATATATATAAGGTACACACACAAATATATGTACATAAACAGTATATATACCATTTTATATCTTCTGGCTTGAAGTCAATCTGTAAAGCTGAAAGTTAATATGGTTCTGGAAATGATTCTGCATTCAAAATTTATGCCCATATGTTGTTCATGGGTACCAGGATATACCTGCGTACAGATGCGCACAGCCATTCATATCTATAGGCGATTGTATGCAGAATATGGGTTTTCCCAGTGCAGAAAAAAGCCAGATTTTTTGGTGTAAATAACTGTTTATCTTTAAGTGAATTCCTTTGTGCTTAAGGAAGACCCTGGATGCTGGATCCTGGCTATGTGTTTCCAAATCAGCACCAAGCCTGTATTATGCCCTCCTCCCTACTGTTACAGAGTCCCCAGAGTTTCTGAACAGCTCCAACTCTGTCAGCTCTGCTTCCCTGAATTTCCTGTCCTGTACAAGATCACAAGGGACAGAACAGTCTCCAATAGCTCTACATCTACTAGCTTGGAGAAGAGAGGAGGAAGAAGGAGATGGGGAGTGTCTTGCCTTGCTGTCCCTGTGGGTTTGTAGAGACACAAAACGCTTACTAACACAAACAAGGGTATTCCTCAAAGGTGAACCAAACAGCAGGAAAACCATTACAAACATTACAACTTAGATCTGTCTCAGGAAACACATTGTACATATGAAAGGTCTGCCTTGCATTTTAAATATGTAATCAAATATTAAATAATCTGCTTTATTTTTTGTAGAAGTAAAAGATTATGAACCTCCATTTGGCACCAAAGTGCGAGAACACCCGTGCGTTGAAAGTATGAAGGATAATGTCCTGAGAGACCGAGGTAGACCTGAAATTTCCAACAGCTGGTTGAACCACCAGGTAAAACCATATCATTAAAGTATTCATTTAATTATACTGTTTTTGCTGTGCAAGATATTCTAGATATCCATTTTAAGTGTATCAAGTATGCTTGCTGCCATGACAGAGCAATTGTTCCTGCAGCCTTCTTTTTCATCACCTGTTGTAGGATGACAACAGTTGTAACCACGAGCTTTAAAAGAGAAGTAAAGCCAAACTTTTTTTTTGGCATCACTTCATTTTTGGGTCACAGGAGTACATTTACTAATGTACTTCTGTGACCCAAAGTCAGTATACAGCAGACTACTGCCCCCTATATGCTGACAGTGCAGAGCCGCACTGCAGCCAGGAAGAATCCTGACAATATTGCCTCTCTAGAGCCAGAGCCACCTGTGCCCGCTCCCAGTGAGTGCTGGAGGAACAGAGAGGGGCAGGAGGAATCCCTGCAGGGAGCAGTCACCACTCTCTACAGATAGAAGACTGTGATCTCAAAGATCAGTGGACTTACAATGAATCCATGGAGTTCATTTAATGCAAATAGACTGTTCACTTGGCAGAGGAAGTTTTACTTTGCAAGGAAATGTTTCCTTTGCTTAGTTAATGTGGTAAAATTCTCTTTTGCAAAGAATACCTAATCACATGCAAGGGAAATAAAAAAACAGGATAAATAAAACTTTATTGAAAAAAAAAAGACTTGGTATTGCACAGCGCCATTCGTGATCATCACTGCGCACCACCATTTACTGTATGGTCCTAAACGCTGTAAGTAGTGCAGGGGATACATCTGGACACTGTATGTGGATGATCATGGCTGCTGGTGTCAACAAGCACTGAAACGGGCATGCTGCTGTGACCCGTTTTATATTTGCCATTTATATAATTAGTTAAGATAAAAAGATATACATAAAAAGATATACAAACAAAATGCTTGCATTAACAGCAAGCATTTTTTGTTTTTTTTAGGCCCCATTTATTACCTATTGATGCTGTTTTTCCACTTCCTGTAATGGGCCAAGCTGTCCAGCAAAAATTTCAGATAGAGGGTTTTAGACAAATCATATACCACCGACAGTGGTGGTTACAATGGTCAGCTTTTATTCATATGGCCTAAAGTTTTTCCAAAAGAAATAAAAAAAACTGTTGCTGTAACTTTTCTAAAAGTTAGGTGAAGTCCATTTAAAACTACTTCTTCATCTAAGACTACCCTGTGCACAGGATGACAATACTGCTGACCAGTTTTCTTAACTATAAGTAATGTCACCTACCAAGTTGTGTTGTTATATATATATTCTATAGATATATATATATATTCTATAGATATATATTTGGAGATCGGTTTTAAAGTGTATTGCCACATTTGCAGTCAAATTTGAGGAAACTACTACTATTTGAGAAAACTACTACTGCTTGTTTGTTTTGCGTTCCCAGTCACACAGCATACCTAGAAAGAATTTTAAAAAATTCTTACCTTCTAGATGTTTCTTTGGTGAAGGCCTTTGTGCAGATTCCAAGCTACTCTGATCAGTTTAAAAATGAAAGAAGAGGGACAGATTGAGGGACAGACTGAGCTTCCTCTCCTTAACATGCAATGCTTCTAAGTCTTTAACCCTTTGTTAGGACAGACAAGGTTCAAATCTAATTTACAACTGATAATGAAATCTGCCAGCACAGTACAGACAGGGTTAATTATGGTAAACATAACTTCCAACAACCGCTTCCTTACAATTACGTAGGGAAGAAACTACGTAGGATTTTTAAGAAAGTAAGAAACTTTAAATATAAGCAGCACTTTTTTTTAGTTATGCAGTGTAAATGGGAACATAATACAAATATAAAGTAGGTGTTATCTCAATTTGGCTGCAAACGTGGAAATACACTTTAAACGTTGTGCAGTAAAAAGATATTGTTTGCATTACTTATACACCAAATAACAATGTCTCTATCTTTCCCCAGGGTATCCAGCTTGTATGTGAAACCATAACAGAATGTTGGGACCATGACCCAGAGGCCAGGCTCACCGCCCAGTGCGTAGACGAGAGATTTAATGAGTTAGAACATCTCGACAGAATCTCTGAGAGAAGCAGCTCGGAGGAAAAAATACCAGAAGACTGTACGGAAAACACAAACAAGTGAAACATGCACTGCAAATACTTTGTCTTACGTAGAAATTCAGGACTGCAACATAAGCAGCTGAGAAGATCACTTGTATAAAATATGCACTGAACTCTTAACTCCAGAGACATAACAGGGCAAGTCCCAATTGCTGCTGGAGCAATGTCACATATGCTTCCCACAAGAACTGTCTTACCGGTGGGACCCAAAGCAAGTATGGAATGTAGTGCCTGAATCCCAACAAATGGCTCTAACCTGAGCATGTATAAGGCACACTGCAAGTGTCTTATAGTCTAAGGTAACCACCTCAATTGCTTTACCAGAAGTCACCTCTTCTGCCCCTATGGTGCTGCCATAGGGTGATACATTTCCTCAGGACATTTTTGTGTTATTTCTAAAATAGCCATACTTTACTTGCACTTTATAAATTGTGTTTAAAACAACACATTGGCTTTAATGTATGTAAGTATTGTCTCGGATAAACCAAATATATTACCAGGAAAATGTACAGGACATAGGAAAGTACAAGATTAATGAAAAGAACACATATAATTATTAAGACTTAATACTATAAGTGTGTTAATTATTTTTTATCTCATATTAGGAATATTATATTTCATCAGAACCAAATTTTTGTACTTGTTATGGTAAAGTGGATTTATATGTGAGCACTGTAGAAGTTCTTTTTTCTTAGAATTAAAGCACGAGATGTGGGCTACAATCTAGATTTAATGGGAGAGTTTGGGATTTTCCTCATAACTGCTCATCAGTTATTAGAAACATCAAAATGAGACCATGTGCTAATAGGTCTCCTCTTTATGAGGTTCAAAAAACTGTCTTTCCAAAACGTATGTGCAAAGTATTGAGTCTTACGTTTCATATATTACAAGTCTGTCAATCTTACTTTACTTGGAATGGCTAATATGGATAATGGATAATACTTGGAATGGCTAACTATCCTGGCATAGGAGGAAAAAATGCAATAGGATTTAAGTAGTACTTTTTAAAAGGGCTGTGTGTTTTTTAATTTTATCAGAAGATATATTGAAATTGGTGCTATACTGGTCTGTGTATTTTAAGAAACACAAATGCACAGTATTTCATGTGGAGAAGCGTTGGGTGCACAAGACATACCTTGCTGAGTGTACACTGATTTAAACAGAAATGCACTTACATGCAAGAATGAGATATGAGGAGGAGACAATTCAAATGAGTTTAACATAGATTTAAATATTTTCTGGTTTCTAGGTGTTCTGAATTATGATAAAATATCCCTAGAGGTGATTGAAAAATCTTCCCCGGTGTTTTAAATGCCTTTTTGTACCTTTTTCATTCTGATAACATGAAAAACATAGCATGAGGGAGAGGAAACATAGTTTGTTGCACTTAGCCACCAATCAGACTCCACATATTTTCAGAATAGGTGTTGCTATGATAAACTCTTAGCAGCCCGTTGGCTCAGAGTTGTAGTAACATGCAGTTAAAGAGAGGTCCACTGATTTAGTACTATAAAGGGCTGTAATGTTAGCTATTACAAAATGAAAATATTATTTTCTAACCATATCTTTAGGGTCACTCCAACCAAGGTTAAAAATTGTAGCTTTAAGTGGATACTGATGGTTTACATCACCCAGAAGCTTTGCATACATCTGAGGGACTCTATTGGTGAAATATATGTGCAGCACAATTTGTGTCTACCACTTATCCACAATCTCTGGTAGTTGTGCTTTACAGCTATGTGTTAGTACTGTGTTTTGAGCAATCTATTTAATGAGAGTTACCATGTCCTTTGGTATGTAATGGCCATGGCAGTTTAACAGAACTAGGAATTGTGGTGAAGATATCATGCCACACGAGTCCAGGAAAATAACATAGTAGCCTGTCTGTAATTTGATTTTAAACATATATGCAAAACCAAAGATATCCATTGTAGATGGATTTTACCCTTAAAATGCAATCCTGTTTTCTAACATTATCTTGTTTGTTGTTCATCCTATGTATTTAAGTACATTTAATCTAAAGATTACATTATTTTAATGACTAATATAATGGTGACCTTTATTACATTAGAAGTGAGGTTTGCATTTGTATAACATGAAAATTAATATAATTCAGATGACTGAGCTTAATATGAAAAAATATGTATATAATCTCACAAAGTAACTAACTAAATACCATTATTTAATAACAAGCATTATAGTCTCATAAAATATATATTGTTTTGAAAAGCAAATGTCTTTACCTAAGCATTCAAAGTCCTGCTTTGAGTTAATTTAGATTACAGTTAAGGGTGATTGTGTCAGCATATTCAGGAAACCCCATATAAATTATTATAATGGTGTTTATTCCTGGCTAGCATATCTCTCGAATACTGCGAACCATCATTTATCAAAAATCAAATTGGTTTTTCAATTCTTTTACAGTTTAACTCCAGCTATAGAACAGTGACTACCATAGAACAATTAAATGTGTACTATTATTGCTATTCTAATATAGAATCAACTAGGTCCGTTTGCCAAAAAGATTACTTCAGTGGGATGCTAACCTATTTTTACATGCCATATAAAGAGGGTTTACAGTTATATACCAAATTTGTTTTATCTTAGGAGGCTTATTGATGTTTTTTTTGGATTATTAGCAATTGCCATTTGTGCAATCATTGAAGCCATTTTCCTCAAATGGCTTTGAAATAATTATGTTTTTTGCTTAAGATAGTTTGCATATAAACTACATAAGGAATAAAAAGAGGCCACAAAACTTCTCACTATGACATTGTCATTTTCTAGCTCATCTTTAATCATTGAGAGGAAATAGTATTCTCTGCAGTGTATTCCATTCATGGTTATAGCTCCATTTCATAGCAGCTTAATCACTCCATGTGACAGCCACAATTCTTGATTAGTTTTACCCCATATCTACTATTTGCAAAAGTGTTTATTTGAAGACATTTTGAAAAAAATACCAGCTAACGAAATGTGTAAGTTATCGAAGTATTTAAAGAATATTGTTAAATGCAATGGAGTATTTATGTTACAATATTCGAAAATCAAGTCTACTTTGGTCAAGTAAAGCATATTATCTCTAAACTACATTGTCATATTGACAAATATCTCTAGTGCATTCTGTTTGGACCTTGGGCACACACAGGTTAATTCTTTGCTACCACTAGCAGGCATCCTTGTATTTGGCTTTGTAACTTTGAGTGGTCAAGAAATATTTTCATATTTTGTCCATACTTTAACTGCATGATTTTTTAAATCATCCTTTCATGACTGATAAGAGCAGCACCAAAAGTAGGAAAAACCGTGCATCACACAATACTTTTTATTTATTTTTGTTCAAGAAATCTGTTGCAAAGGTGTACCTAAAAGTAGATTTTTAGAGTAAAAGGAATGCTGCACAATAAAGCACAGTATATCTAGTATAGTCTGCTACAGGGGAAGGGGGGTGGATTGTCATTTAGGTTTATGTATTCTGTGAGTCTGAAATGTTTTACT